ATAAGGATGTGTATGAACGGCAAGTGTGCTACAACTTTGACAAGCGCATATCCAGCTACAAAGGAGAAGTGACCAGCATGCAACAAAAATCCCCTCTTCCTGATAAAAATGGCTGGCTTGTTGAAGAAATTTTGACACTTCATGGGATTCCGCTTGGCGACTGTTTTAATGTATGTGATTTGATTTGGTAGCCATTATTTTGTATTGGCTGAGTTCTGTCTCTGAGCACATCCTATATTTTCTTTTGAATGTGGGTTAATTATACCTTCTATGTATACTTGCATTTGTTTGTTTGCAGCTCCACCTCAGATACCAGATTGAGGATAGAGCAAAGGGCTGTTATGTGAAAGTATCATTTGGAATTGCTTGGCTGAAAAGAAATAAACACCAAAAACGGATCTCTAAGAACATTCTTTCAAATCTGGTAGATCGTCTGAAAGTGATGTTTGCTACTGTCGAGAAAGAATATGTGAATGGAAGATAAAAGCTCCAATATTGGAGTATTGCTTTTCTTACCCATGGAAGTCTCTTTTGAGTACAGAGTAAAAACTAACAGAAGCAACCGTGTCTAGATAGAAACAAGGTTACACTGAATGCATGTTGCCTGAAATCAGACTAATTACATCAGCATACAGCCATCATGATGCAGAGATTCTTGTAAAATTGCAGGTTTGATGATTTTTTTGGTGCTCCCCTGTTTTTTTTTTATTTGTTTCTTTGATACTAAATTGTAAAGGGTATATTAAATCATTTTTTTCCCACTCCCGAATTTTAGAGAAAATGTCCAAAAATGAAGATCAAATGTTCAAAATCTTGGACTTGGTGTCTTTTGATGTTCAAATCAGTTCTGCCAGTGTCGAACTCACTTCTGTTCCTTCAATGTCAAGGCATTAGTCCTGTTAAAAGTAGGTTTAGATTGGACTCTGGTATTCAGTAGTGAAGGGCACGTCTGGAAATTTAATGGCCTTGGCTAAATTTTTTTGTGGTGATATTTTACTCTTTCATGCTACTGTATCTCAATTTTTCGTTTGTTTTTGTTTTTTGGTCGTTTATTTATACTCCATCACAGCTGCCCAGTTATGTTCCAGGCCTTCAAAGGGGGAAAAAAAAAAGACAGTTGACTAAAATTGACCCCACAGTGCCATAAAAGTATTGCTACTGTGGATTTGTCAGGCTGCTGATGAGATGGAATTGCGTGCTTAGCAAGAATGGTATGGGTAAGGACTCAGGTGTTTGTGCGGTGGGGGGGATAGGGGGGGGGGGGGGGTGCATTCTGCAGGTTTTTGATCCTGTTTAATGGTCTGAACTCTGATGTGCTGTTGATATATGGTTCTCTGTTCGGCTGCTTGGGAGTTGGGATGCAAGGAATGGGTGGGAGTTTGAAGGGGAAACTTGTGGACCTCAGAATGCCTTGGAATATGTTGATCAGCTTGCTTCAGAGATTACCGGGGAAGGGGAGTGGTGCAACTGTGCAAGTCAGGCTGTTGGGGCTGCTGTGCTTAAGGTCATCATGGATATGGGCTGTTTTGAGGGGCTGAGAACAGCTCTCTGACCATAGGTAGGGGAAGATGCTAGATGCAAAAGTACACTTTGCGTATCGCTTTGGGTGATACTTATTAGGAAATTTTTTAAATTACCACCTAAAAATGTATCTATTTTCAAAATAACAAACCCGTTTATCTATTTATTTTTTTTAAAAAAATTAATTACTCAAATTACCACATTTTCAAAATTGCGATAGGTTTCTGTCAGTAGGCCCCACTTAACGGCTACTAACCGCTATTTTGATTGATTTTCCCCCTTGATTTTTCTATGTGATATAGCTCTCCCAACTTCAATTCGTATTTCCTTCACCAAATTTCACAATAATTGGGGTAAATAGGTAGAATTGGGAGTTTTATGAAATTTGGGTTCATGCTTCAATTGAATTAGGGGTTTTCTTAGATTACTATTTTAATTGAATTGGGGGTTTTTATGAAATTAGGGTTCCTACTTCAATTAAATTGGGGTTGTTATGAAATTAGGGTTCCTTCCTCTTTCCCCTTTGCTTGAAGTGTTTCTATTGAATGCGGCTCCTTCCTTTGCCTCCCATGGTGGATTCAAGTGAGGAGGTCTCTTTTGCATCAATTATCTAACAGTTACTTCTTTGCAGAACAAATAAAAAATTAGGGTTTTAGTTTACTAATTTAAATAATTGTTGAGAATTTATGAAGAAAGAGGTAGCAGATAGTGGATTGTCATAAAATTAATGAAGACTTTGAATGAGCAAGGGGTTTGGTTAAGTTCAATAGCATAGAGAAAGAGTGAAGTCGAGATAAATGAACAAAAACAAAGGGAGGGAAATAAGGTAGGTGGGGCCCACAATAGAGAAACCTATCGGAATTTTAAAATGGGTGGTAATTTGAGTGATAATTTACAGGAGGGTAATTTAAAATAAAAATAATTAAACGAGTGGTTATTTTGATAATTGATACATTTTTGGGAGGTAATTCAAAAAATTTCCTACTAATTATTGTCATTTGGCATTTGCTGATAATTGTTTAATGGAGTTACATCTATAGGGATGATAATAGTGTATACGGATGATAATAGTGTAGCTCATGAGCTCGCTTATCTCTTGCTATTGGAGCCAAGAGGGGTTGGTTAATTTACTTTTATTTGTTAGTTTTTATCGTTTAGATGGAAGTTTATTAAAATGGATTGTGTCCGAAAATCTACTCAATATAACAATAACTTAAAGTGCTACTCCCTCTATCTCTTATTGATAGTTCTTTATGGCCAAATTTAAGTCCTAGAATAATAGTCTCATTTGCTTTTTTCAAGTACCATTACTATGAATTTTACATTAAAATTCTCTCCAATTTGCAACAATATTTGTGTAAATTTAACTTTCTCACATAAATTTTGCTTTTTCTTGTACTTTTTATTTTTTTCCTCTCTCTACTTTTATCATATTCAATGTAAATTTACCTTTTTCAATGTACTTTACTACTTATTTATGTTTATTAATTCCAGTGAAAATTGTCCATAAGGGATGGAGGGAGTACACATGAAAATATAGGGTAATTTTGGTTCGAAACTCAACTTACTAATATAAAACCTATATTACCCTTCCCCCCCCCCCCCAAAAAAAAAAAAAAAAAAAAACACACACACACACACAAAAACTAAAGAGAATGGGTAAGTCCTGTATGTGGTTAGCCACACCGGCCCATACGGTGTGACCACATTAATTTATAAGAGTAATATTTATTTATATGTATGACTGTATGAGTAACCTCATGTTGTCCATAAAAGTAACCCAAATTTATTATACGAGTGAATTCAAAGTAATTTAGAATAAGTAACTATATTTGTTCATTCGAGTAACCCTATTATTTTGTTTTAGAAAATAAAAGAATAATTTCACTTATTTAAGAGAGTAACCCTTATTTTTTTATTTAAGTAACCTACATACGCGTTAAGATAACCCCGTTTGCTTAGTGGCCACACCATGTGGCTAATCACATATAAGACTTTGTGTTTTAACATAGAAAGTAAAAATAGGATTCTTTTTGAGGATATGTCAAGGATTCTTAGCATAATTAATGTTAGAATGAAGACAATAAAATCTAAAATAGACATGACTAACACCACCCTAAATTGAACTTGAAAGCAAGATGTACTTTGGAGGAAAACATTAGACTTGAGGATTCATCCATAATACTGGGCGTCTTTTGGTGATTGCTTACTCAAAGTTTAAAAAATTTACATACAAAAACAATTTTGGATAGATGAAGGGCAAGGAAAAGAAGGGGAGGGAGGGAAAGAGGAGAGAAGGGAAAGGGAGGGAATGGAAGAATAATGAGTTTTGGAAGAAAAGAAATTCAATCCCCCTAATTCAATATTCTCTCTCCCCTCTAATTCCCTCCCTTCATTTGTTATCCAAATAAAAGAAATTCAATCCCTCTATTTCCTTTCCCTTAATGTAAACACACTTTTGCATGCTTGGTTTAGGGGTAATATATTAAGGGGGTAATAAAAGTCAAACTTGAAAAAACAAAAGTAATTAGTAGTGTTTGCTATAGTAGACATTGTGTTTACAAATGAAATAAGGTAGTTGTTCCATGAGGAAAAGAGAGAGATGGACAAATAATTACTCTCCTAAAGAGGGTAATAGTTACCCACCCTTCCCTTAGTGTAACTATTACCTCCAAAATGAGGGTATTGATTCCTCTTTCTTCACCTCATACCACACCATCACTACATAATTTCTTTACAATCACATCATCAATATCTCCTCTATTTTCACATTCATTTTGCTTAGGCTGACTTTTATTACACTTGTATACATTTCCCTCAATCCAAGCATGCCCTTAAGGAAATAGGGAAAAGTAATGTTTTTATGAAATATTTCCTATCAAAACAAATGAAGCCTAACTTAGATAAACCTTCTTAGTACCATCCCCTAATTCCAATGATATAATGAGGCCTTTTTGACCCTAGGAGGTTTTCCCCAACACCGGATTCAATTATGACAATGGGCTCTAATATTTTCATCGAGGTATGAATATGATAAAATCACTGGGGAGCTGCAAGTTAGAAGATAAAACACAAATAAGTTGTACTCCGTATACATTCCTAGTTAAATCAAGTCAGAACATTAATGGTTTGTTTGGATAAAGAAAAGGGAAGGAAAAGAAGGGGAGGGAGGAGAAGAGGAGGGGAGGGAAGAAGGATGAGTTTTCCTTCCAAATCTCTCCATTGTTGGAGGGATCAATTTCCTACAATTTAATCCTTCCATTTCTCTCCCCTCCAATTCCCTCCCTTCCTCATTTGCTATCCAAATGAAAGATACTCCATCCTTCCATTTCTCTTCCCTTCCTTTCCCTCCATTTCCTTCAATCCATACACACCGTAAATATATTATCTTCTCGAAGAAAAGTTGTTCATGGGATGTGATCGAGCAAGGCCATACAAAAATCACTCACAAACATATACAACTTTGTACCAGATGCTCATTTAGTATTAGTGAAATTCAATAGCTTTCGTAGATCCATTTTCAAGGTTTGTTACATATCCTACACTATTTTTTATCGGAAAGAAGAAAAGACCTCCTGTGTGGCCAAATACATTGTATGAGCAAGAAACATGTACTTTTGATAAAAAAAAAAAAAAAAATAGAAATTCTAAATGTTTATGAGCAAGAAACATGGTCAACATGATACGCAGTATAAATGCATGGAATATGCTCAAGTTCCAAAGGTATGGGAAAAAATTGGTTTGGATGTGGGCATGTGCTGCTTTTTGGCATCAACCAGAGTAACCAAGCTCAGAATAAAGCATCCCCAGGGTTAATATTGCAAAGGGTTCACAGAGCTCAAGTTTTCAGATGCAAGACTGGCAAGTGGCAACTACAATTTTTAAAAAACATGATCGAATTAGCAATAGAAGCCCCAATAGTTACAGATGTAACAGAAGATTTGTTCACTTGGAAACTAAGCATCTGGAATTACTTTGAAGTTAAAGCCTGACAGCAAAAGAAAGAGACATGAGATACTTACTTCATAGTTCTTCTGATCAGTCCTCTTTGCCAATTGATAAAGAAGAAGGTTCACATGGTTCTCCAGCATAAATGAGGTTCCTTTGTTGAAGAGATGGAGTCATACTCGACTCTAGTATCTGCTGGGTGAAGAACATCTCTTGATTTGAAAATGCTTCATCATTATTGGTCAAACATGGCTGCTTTACTGATCTTTCTTCATTAAGATTTTCACATATGGTAGCATCATGGCAAATAGAGTCTGGAGTCAATGGTTCCTGTTGAGATGAGAAAGACTCATCTAAAGATGTGGTCTTAGCAACTGCACAATCTTTGCTGTATTTGCCCAAGGGTGATTCTGATGTAGGAGCAGGAGTTGTAGGGTCACTCTTTATAGATTCTGAATCTTCAGAGCCGGGCACTTCAGCAAGAGTTCCACTTAGGCGCTGCTGCTCCTCTATTATCTTCTTCAAGTATTTACCCTGAGCTTCTATTCGTAACTGTAGCTGTCTTTGCACCTATTGCACATCAAATACATCAACTGATCCTGAAACTATGATTTGTTCTAGTTTCAGAAAAAAAAAAAGGAGGGGGGGTCTCTGGGGAGCTATGCAGAACAAGACCTGTAACAATAAATCAAGAGGAACAGAAATCTGCCACAGATAATTGTTTCACCACCACAGGTAATTTTCTCATACAATCAATTAACAACTAATAGCCAAAGGGATAATATCTCAAAAACCTGGGTATTTGATCATTTCTTCTCTCCATGGCTAAATTTATACTTAAATACTTTGTATTTGCAATCTTAAGTTAAAGAAAAAATACTTTAATAATCCTAACTATTACCGATTTACTTTAAATAATCCTAACTAAGGTTTATTTTTTTGATAATCCTAACTATTGGGTTATTTTGCCTCCAACAGTCCCAAAAACCGGTTACCTATTGAAAGGGTAATTTTTTTTTTTTATTTAATGCCACGCGTCAACACTTGAATGGTTCAAAATTAAGAAATCTAAAAAAAATAAATAAATAAATAAAACATATAAAACATAGAAATTTTTTTTTTAAAAAAAATAAATAAATTCAACCGCCTTTTCCCCACCCCCTAACTTCACCGGAGCCCTAACTCCACCCCCTAATCTAGCCGCAAACAGGCAGGCCAACCCCAGAACCCCCGAAAAAACGGCTGGCGCCCTATCCTTAAGTGATTCTCTCTCCTCCTTAACACACTCTCTCGTTTCCCACCTAATTAATTGATTGATTCTATCTCTTCTTCAAACTCTTTATCTAACCAAATCGCCAAACCCAAATCACTGGCGACATCGACGAAGGAACGGTGGTGGACAAAGGATCGGTGGCAGCCTCCCACTGAAACAGATCGATCCACAAGCCAAGAAACAAATCGCTGTCCAAAATAAATCCGGCTACAAATCCTTCACGGCGGCGACGACGAAGGGAGGATAGCTGGCGCAAGTTTGCGCTGAGAGAGGAGTCCTAGCCAGCAAAGTTAGGGGGGTTGGGGTGCATTGCAGCAAATAATGGCGACGAAAGCTGTCCAATCATTATTTTTGAGTCGGGGTGGGTTACGTTGGTGGTTTTTGTGGTCGGGATGGGTAGGGTTGGGTTGGGGGTGGGTTAAATGGGTGATAGAGGGCCGACCGGCCGGTTTTGGTGGTTAGAGGGGATGGCCTGCCGGTTTTGGTGGAGGGAAGGGTTTGGCACCGGTGGTGGTAAGGTGGTTGACTAGCTGCTGGGATTTTTTACTTTTTTTTTATGTTTTTTTTTTTTTGAATTCGGACCAATCACGTGTTGACACATGTCATGGCCACCTGAAATAACAGGTCATGGACCCGTCGTTGACCGGTTGGGACCTTTGGAGGCAAACTGACCCAATAGTTGGGATTATTAAAAAATAAACCTTAGTTGGGATTATTAGAGGTAAATCGACAATAGTTGGGATTATTAAAGTGTATTTTTCCTAAGTTAAAATAGTGCAAGAAGATGATGCCAGAATTTTGGATTTTATAATTCTTTCTTTGTGGAGCATAACAGCATAATATCTCCCTCAAGCCACTCCCCCCCTCCCACCCCCGGAGTGTGGGTAGAAATTGGGGGCAGGAAGAAGACATGACATCAGTTTGGCTTCCACAGTCCAACTCCAAAACAATTATCACCTAGCACACGATTTAAAGAGGGCAACCAACAATTGGAATCAGTTTGCTTAAAGAGAAAAAGGATCTAACAGTTTCTTAGAGACTGCACAAAGAAACACATGCCTCCAATTGCTCATGCAATCGCTTCTGCACCTCCATTTGCAGCTTTAGTGCCTCGGTGATTTGCATACCACTGCAAAAGAATTAAACTCCTATCAGCATAACTTTCCACCTTCATAAGCCTTCTAATATGAATACTCTGAAAAGAAGACCAACAGGCTAATCTGACAAGCATCCCCACAGCGCCCCAAAATATTTCCTAACACAACAGTTGAGACTCATAGAATCATAGTATACCTCATATTCATCAATACAATATCTGCTTCCTCAACTGAATTTTATAAGACAAATAACATAAAGCAAATAAATTATGAACTTACGATGAACTTTCCAAACCATAAAGCATATCCACAGATTCCTTCTTGTCTGCTTTTTTCCCTAGCATTACCAATGCCAAAATTGAAAGAAAAGAAGGAAATAGTAACATAATAAATCAACTTAAAAGAGAAATGAAAGCAAATCTATCAAAACCAGAACTAAAAAACCGGCTTTATGCTCCACATTTAATAAACAGGTCATAGTTAACCAGCCAACAATGGACATCAAAAGATAACCTACACCGAATCATGAAAGAACACTAACCCTCAGATAAGGAATCAGGGAGGTACTTAGCAAGACGATATTTCTGAAAAAAAGAACGTGAACAATAAAAAAAAAGAAGCCATAGTAAAACTAAAAGCTTTGACAAAATATAAGAGGGAAAAAAAGAGAGCAAAGTTCTATGAGTACAAATAAAAAAAAATAAAAAAAATTACCTGTAAATGGCTTTTGACATGATATATTGTCAAGCCTTGTACTCCCATGACCCTAAGGACACCTTTGGGAGTAGCACCTGAAAAGCAGAAAACTAGGCTCAATCTCCAAATAAAGTGTTATATAGGGATCCACACAAGATGTAATTCACTTTAACCATTTATAATAAAATGTTCTTTCATAATACGTTTCTTCTAAAAGGGTTTCAATAAGAGGTAAATTTACATTCCAAAGTTACTAGAGCATATGACAATAGCATGTACAAATTGCTCCCTTGAAAGTGATATACTTCCTCTATTTTTTATTAGATGCATCACTTTTGAAATTGCAGACTCCTAGGCAATTTTGGAGCAGAGAGATAAAGAGAAAAAATAAAGAGGGTCCATGTGATATGAGAGAGATAGAGAGAATTTATTAATTAAAAGGGGAGTGATGCATCTAAATTGAAACTTTCATATATGGAAAGTGATGCATCTAATAAAAAACGGAGGAAGTATAAAGATGGCAAATAAATATTGCTAGCATCAAAACAAAGAATAAAGAGTAGAAAAATACACAAAACATTACAAGGAGAAAGTATGAAAAAAGAAACTAAGTAGCCTAGTGATTAGCCCAATGCTTAAGAGCTTAACCCTTACAACTTAAATCTATTTGAAGACCTAAAACACCTAATTTAGTCCAATAAAAAAAGTTCACTCATAGAACCCATACTTTACAAAAGTGATTGTGAATAAATGAAAATCAAAGTTACCTACCCCGTGTTATCTTGCTTTACAAGTGTTGTGTTCTTAGGCTATTATAATCTTGCATGTTTCATTTTCATTTTAAAGGGTTTCATGATAGTTTAATGAAATTCCAATAGTGGATACAAGGAGAGGGAGATATACATATCAAAGTTAATAGAGCATACAATAATAGCCTGTAAAAATCATTCACGTTAAAGAGATATATAATTAAGGCAAAGAAAGTTGATAACATCAAAAGAAAAGATGAAGAGTAGGAAAACAGACAAGACACTGTAGGGTGAAAAGAATTTTTTTTAAAAAAAGGAAAATTAATAGCCAAGTAAGATAAAAATGCAATACCAATTAAAATAAATTACTGAACAAATCAATACTTAACCCCTACAACTTAAAACTACTTAACACACAAATCCAATAAAAAAAGCTCATTTATAAAACCCATACTTTGATGATGATAAATAATTGTGAATCAAGCTTCCTACCTTATGTTATCTTGCTTTAATACTAGTGTTGCATTGTTAGGCCATTATAGATATTGCACCACTACTTTTAAAGCACCCGAAAATCACATGTCAGGAACTATTAGGGGTGATGAGGAAAATTGAGGAAATATAAGTGTAATAATTTTCTATCAAGAATTATACATGTTTTGTGTACTCTGTATCACATAGGTTTTACGATAAATAACTATTCACTACCAACATTAACAATTGCGGGTGTAACACAATTATAAACAACCACCATCAACAAAGGTATGATAACCCAATGAAGGAATTTTGACAACTTAATAAGACCCTTAGAGATCTATTTGGTGATCGATATATTACAGCTCTTGATACTGTACAATATTTCCATATTGATCAGCCTATTATGGTTCCAAACCAGCTTTTAAAGCCACGGGAGACACTCCCCAACATCTACTTTCCCATGTGTGTATGGAGTAATAGTCCCGGGTTGAAAGTGGTAGAAGGGTGGCTAGCTTATAACTTATAAGGTTTGTGGAATACTTCTAATTCCATATGGTTTAAAAAGGAACCACGCTTGACTAATGAGTGGTAGATCATGTCTCCTTGTCTAGGGCCTAACAGTACTTCGACGTGCATTTGTGGTAGATCATGAATAGGTAATTCCCCTTCTAAATACCTTTTTCCCTCTTTAAACAGAGGGAATACTCAAAGATAGGCATCATGTAGTGATAAAAACTTCAACTTTGCCAAGAAATGCTAGTTCTAGTTGTTTTTCAGTCAAGGCATATGATCGTCATAAACCCAATACAGAATCACAATAAGAAAAGTGAGGGTCAAATTGTCAAGCAAGCATGAATACTAAAACCCCTCATATAAAGGGTTCCAGGCGATGCATTAACAAGCATGTTCATTCTCAACCAAGGCAATCACAATTTCAGAAAGCATCATCAGAGTTAAAGGAACATACGGTCTGGCCCACCCAGTTGCGCTACAGCATCAACAAAACGCTCATGAAGTTCATTGGTCCATCGGAGTCGTTGCTTTGAAGACATACTAGTATTGTTACTGAGGCTATTGTTGTTGACTGGATCCATTGTTGCCAGCACCAAAGTCCAAATGTCAACTAGATGAAAGATTTTCAAAATGTAAGTTTGACAAAATTGACAATCAAGTTTACAACGGAAAGAAAACAAAATTCACAAAAGCATCAGACATTACAACCTAAAAAAAAACAGGTTTTAGTGAAGAGATTCCCCAAATTCAACAAAAGGGTAAAGAACAACAAATCAAATAAATCCCAAATTAAGTTAAGCCACATTCGCTAAAATGAGATAATGAATTGTAAGAAGTTGGTTTAAATGTATTGAAAATCGTTCAGTAAGATGAGAACAAGAGACAATTAAGCCCAAAAAAAGGGGGAGAAGATAGCACAGATTTTCGAAAAGACAAATCTTGTCAGTTCCTGTTTCTTAGTTGTTTGTTAGATTGAAGGAGACAAAGCGTGAATGATAAGGGGTAAGAGACAAGACTTACCAGAAGGCCGCAAGAGAACAGCTTGCTTGCCGACCGGAGCTTTCAGGAGAGGGACTGCCGGACTGGAGAATGAAGAAAGTAGGAGTAGGAGTAGGAGGAATGAAATTCAAGTTTCACCACATTTTTTAAAGTTTTCAATTTTTTTTTGAAAAATAGAAATAAATAATATGACCATAACAATCCCACCTTTTCATTATTACAGACAATCCACCTTTGTGTCAATTGTATGTCATCTTCTTTTAATAGGTCTTTTTACCTACAACCTATTAAACAGGTTAGCATGTTTTTTTTTTAATTTTTTTCAAAGCCATATGTCGCTTGATGAATGGGCAAAAATAATAAAAGTTAACAAAAAAACAAGTAAAAAATAAAAATAAAAAACAAAAAAAACCCACCAGCCACCCCCCGGCCGCCGAGAAACCCCTACCCCACATACCCTAGGCCCACCTAAAAACGGTCGGATACCAGCCTAGACCCCCAAAAACGCCAACCAGAACCACCAAAAGTCACCCCCGAAATCACCCCTAACCCAAATTTAACCCCGACACCATAACCACCACCCTAAAACACTACCCAGCCGCCGAAAACCCCTATGACCGCTGAATACCGCCATCCCAGCCCCGATAAACCCCCTACACCGCCGAAAACACCCCATCCCAGCCTCGATTACCCCTTATTACCACCGAATAACCACCGAAAACTTCCATCCCAGCCTTGATTAACCCCTATAACCACCGAAAAACTATCGACAATCCCACTCAACCTCCCTAAATACCCCGAAATTCCCCATCTCGACCACAAAAATCCCCAATTCCTATATCACTATCTCAGGCTCTCAGCCCCGAAAACCCCCCTAAACACCCTAAAAACATGTCACCTGGTGGGTGGGTAGGTGTCGGCGGGCGCTTTTCGGACATTAAGGAGGGCGACCGACCGATCTTTGGTGGTGGCTGGGGTGAGGGTTTTACGGTGGCTTGTGGGGGTTGATGGGTGGTGACTGGGTTTTTTTATTTTTTTCTGTATTTAAGTTTAGTTTTTTTTAAAAAAAAAAATATATATAATAAACCAATTAAAATCTAACACGTGGCATATAACCTACAAAAATCGGTCACTAACCAGTCAAGGACCTCAAGGTCTAAGAAGATGACATACAAAGGTGGGATTACCTCGTAATAATCAAAAGGTGGGATTATTATTGTCTAATCACGCAAGTGGGATTATTTATTTCCATTTTTTCCTTTTTTTTTTTGGAAAAATTGAAAAGAATAATCTCACCTTTGCTCCATCTGCTCAAAACAGGCCAACCTTTGCGTATTCTGGGAACAATCCCACCTTTCATCCCTATTTTCTCAAAGCAAGCCCTTGACCTGTTTTCTAAATTGTTAACCGGTTTTAGCAAGTGACATGCCATGTGTCACTTACTAATTGGCCCAATATTTTTAAATTATTAAAAAATAAAAATAAAAACATAAATTAAAAAAAATACAACCCAACCCCAGCTTAGCCCCTGAACGACAACCATTCCCCAACCCCTGAGCCGCCCTTGCCTGAACGATTATCATCGTCCTCGACTCAACCCCACCCCGCCGGTCTTAAACAAATCCGCCACCTCAACGACCACCCTCATCTTCCCCTTCCCTTGAAAATTACTTTTGTTCATGGTTAATTTATTACCCAACATTTTATTTATATTTGGTGATTGTGAAATAGGGTAGATGTGAATTTTTGTGGGTATTAGCAAAAATTGAGGTTTTTATTATTTAATTTAAGTTTGTAATTGAATTTTTCTAGGTAGAATTGTGGGTAAAAGCTGCTACCTGCCTTACTTGCTTGAATGCTCCATTAATAGCTAGAAATGGTAATGTGGGGAACATCTAGAAATGGTAATGTGGGGGTTGGTGGAGTACGCATCAAAGAGGGATGTGGTGTCAGGTGGGGTTTCACGAGTTGTGGTTGGTGTTTTGAGGTGGAAGTCAATCGTGGTGTGGAGATTGTATGTGATGCAGTGGTGCTGGTGGGTTTTAGGGGGTGAGGTTTTGTGGGTGATGAGAGAGGTGGTGCTATTGGAAGGGTTTTCGTGGCGATGAGGGTCAGCGGTGGTGTGAGAGGCGTCGTTGGTGGTGGGTTAGTGGTGAGTGGTGACATGGATAGAGGTAGTGGAGGTGGTGGGCAGGGAGGTGGGGATACGGAGGTGGGTAAGGTGATAGAGTGGTGCCTTGATGAATTGGTGGCTAGTGGCCGTGGTGGGGAACTGGTGAGGGAAGGGGGAGGAGGGAAAAGGTGGTTTTTTGTTTTTAACTTTATTTATTTTTATTTTATTTTAGGGAGGAAAGATTAAAAAAAATTGAAAAAAAAAATTAACCTGTTAAACAAGTTGTAGGTAAAAGGGCTTGTTTTGAGAAAATAGAGATGAAAGGTGGGATTGTTCCCAGAATACGCAAAGATTGCCCTGTTTTGAGCAGATGAATCAAAGATGGGATTATTGTTTCAATTTTTCCTTTTTTTTTCAAGGAATGTGTTTTTTAAATTTTGATATATTTTGATAAAGTTTTTACTTTGATCGCCAACTAAATTTAGGTAAAAAAAAATTTGGTGCTCACGAGGGCTAAATTTAGGTAAATTAATTGATTTGAATGTCTTATAAAAATACAAAGCTTATTAATATTTAATAGGACAGTAAATATTAAAAAAATTACTAAGGGGCCGTTTGGTTGGGGTTAATCATCAAAGGGAAAGAGAATCAAATGTACTGATTCCCTTTGTTGTTGTTTGTTAGGCATATTATCTCATTCCCTTTACCCTCCCCATTCCCCTAAATCCTTCTAAGTTGATTCCTCACCCCCTAGGTATTCCCATTCCCATTCCACAGCCACCACATCACCACCATACAACCACACTCATCTACCTAGACCGCCGATAAACCAAGCCGGCGCACTTCCCCCACCACTCGGCGCGCTTCGCCGCCGCTCGTCACCCCTCCTTTTCCCCGGAAAAACTTCACCAGCCTCGAAATCCCCTTCTCTCTCCCCGTAAAACCCTTTCTTTCTCCTCGTAAAAACGTCGCCTGACCCTCCCCCCACCCTCAAATCCTTAGCCGCTAGGGTTTACACGGTGGAGGGAGGGTCGCACGATGGTTATATGGGGAGGGAGAAGGGGTTTCTAGGGTTTTTGGGTGAAGTTTTCCGAGGGAGGCAAGGTGTTTGCGGGGGGAGAGGAGGGCGGCGAATCGCGCCGACTGATGGGGGAAACACGGCGAACGGTGGTGTGGCTGGGTGGTGGCCGGAAAACGTGGGAAGTGAAGGAGATAGGTTGTGTGCGGTGGTGATGTGGTGGTTTAATTGGTGGTTTGATTCTCTTTGTTTTTTTTAAAAACAAACAACATACTAAATTTGAGGTATTTTCATTCCATTCTTTCCCTTTGTTCATTCCATTCCATTTACCCCGTGCGAACCAAACGACCCCTAAATCTATTTAACTATTATTAAAACAAAACCTGCAGACAATCTGACATCATTAAGGGACACTTGTCAACTTTTTAAGAAAATTTTTCCCGTCAAAACTATTTTTGACATCATCATTTTATTTCTATTAAAACTAAACAAATACAACTTTTCTTTCAAAATTAATTAATGAGATATGATTACACTTTTCAAATAAAGAATATTGACAATTATTTTAAGCAAAATCTATTTAATCCGTGCAACGCACGAGATTAAACTAGTACGGAGTATAAAATAAGATAGTGGAGTACTCTTGATTTTTTTTTTTTTTTTTTTTTGACAAAGGATACAAACAAATTACATATTACTATTAAAGCAAATAAAATGAACCGCCGCTTCCCCAGCTATTTGATGAACACCATGACGATCCGCCTTGTGAATAACACAATAGTGAAGAATAGAGCCAAGCAATTTAATCTTACGAATGAGCCAAAGATAAGCAACGTTGCCATGACCATCCCCCCGAAGAAGGGAAACAAGATTGTAGGAAACAGTAAACACTGTAAGAGAATGAAACCCGCGATCAATCGCCCACTGTAACCCATACAAGCAAGCCAGAGCCTCTGCATGTAAAGCCGAGGTACAAACCCCAAAATTACTTCCACCAAAGATCCGCTCATCCAACGGGTCAACATTATCCACGCACCATCCCATTCAGCTTGCAAAGAATCTTTGAACCAAGACCCATCTATTTGAAGAGAAAGGGAAGCTAACCCATGATATTCGAGGCCAAGTTGAGCTATGTAAAAACTGGGCAGAGGGCAGGCCAAGTGTTTGCAGAAGCTTTTGTGTTGACAAAGATTGTATGTGCATCCATCACCTCCGCGAACTAAGAATCAAAACGTCGGGAAGTAGTCGAATCCCTTATAAAAATCAATGCAGTATTTAATAATAATAATAATAACAATAATAGTAATAATAATAATAATAATAATAATAATAATAATAATTAAAAGTGTGATGTAAAATAGACATCAAATCTAATTTAAATCATTTTATATGATTTTATTCCCTTTTTTAAAATTTTGCCGCCCAAAAATGTAATGGGGCAAAATAAATAGGGACAAAGGAAATACAAATAACTTATTGAATTCCTTTTTTTTTTTTTTAAAGAATTTATTAAATTCCTAAAAATACTGACTTTTTTTTTTAATGATAAAAAACTTTACTCTCTAAATTTCTCTTTAAAATGATTTCAAATGGTTTGAAAAAAAAAAACACGATCCTATTATATTTCATATTCTATTTACTTCCTCTTTTTTTTTTAGTTGTATCACTTTATAAATTGCAAATTCCTAGACAATTTTTGAAAAGGGAAGATATAAAATTTAAAAAAAAAACATGGACCCGTGTAAAAGGAGAGAGAGAGAGAGAGAGAGAGAGAGATACATAGAGTTTATTACGGTAACTAAAAAAGAAAGTGAAGCACCTCATTTGAAACTTCCGTTTTAGAAAAGTGATGCAATTAAAAGAAACGGAAAAAGTATTAGGCTGCCAAAGTATTATAAGTATTTTTGTTCTTATTCAAATGTTGATGCTTAACTGGATACACTTTCAAAGAAGCTCAAATTATCAATGATTGAAACGAGCGCTTCCTCACAAACTCACAGTTAGACACAAGCAATAACGTAACAATGGCAATTTTGTAAATCATGACATTTTAAGAATACTACTGAGAGGCAATATAGTACTACTGAACATTCTCAATAGTGCTATATAGTATATATGATTTCAGTAGTATAAAAAACACTATGAGTAGTACTAAAAAAAATCTCAGTAGTACTAATTGGACTTTCAGTAGTACAAAAGGTTGTTATACAAACTTTTATTTGTGTTTGACAATGATGTATTAAGACTTTCTCTGATTGAAACACAACCGTAGTTGCACGGTTGCACCAACTTAGAAATGTAAACTACACTCATAAATTAATTCCAAGCAAAATCGTTCTTACATTGTACAAAAACACCAAGAGAATTGCCAAAAAATAAATAACTTCGATCATTTACAAAATACATGGGCAGTCCCGGTCACAAAAAAAAATACAAAAGAATGTATTTACCATAGGGGTTGTGCATTTGAGATATATTATGTAGTACTTCTACACTGACACACGTATCGTGTAAGAACATAAAACTAAAGATGTGTAATCGCAAGACAGAGGAAAGAGCCAGTTAGGGATTGATGTTGCACTCCCGCATATATACTTGGTCATAATCAATGTATTTTGACCAATAACCTCGGTACTTAGGCATCCCTATCTCAAGCCATGGTTTCATGTTGCCATTGTAATGAACAACTGCGGCCTTCTCAATGTCCCTTGAGTTGACACTAGGATTATATCCTAAACCAAGCACATGCCATGATCGATCTAGAGGGTAGGTACGTTTCCAAAACGTAATGAGGCCCGGAGGCAAAGTTCCTAGCTTCCACAACTGTCTATCATGATTCTGCAAAGACAGTAGAAAATATCAAAATAGTTAGGAAGCTCAGACACATGCACTGTAAAAGCAACCAAACCATAAGAGGCTGAGAAAATGAGCATGCATCTTGAAGTCTTACCAGCTTTTGCCAATTGTGGTACACCTCAGTGATGTTTTGTCTCTTCCACTCTTCCAAATCAAAAATGTTCATTCCATATGCCCATCCACAAGCATGGGGGTCAAAATTCTTTGAGATAAGAGGGTTAGAGAAATTAAGATATCGGTCAAAACGATGAAAAGTTTCACCGCAGGTCTCAACAGCACCATTCACATTGCCCCTCATATCAATGGACCAAAGCCTGGTAAGGTCCTTCTGGACAACTATATCATCATCCAAGAATAGAACTTTATTCAGCTTTGGGAATATCTCTGGCAGATAAAATCGAAGATGGTTGAGAATAGACAGATATTTTGGGTTCCGGAATTTCAAATTTGAATCTGAAGCAGCACGGTGTGTCTTAAAGTAGTAGTCTATCATAGATGGAGATCCCAACTGCTTGAGTACCGGGCTGTAACTTGAATTCAACCATGTAAATTCTTCAACATTCTGAACATGAATGGCAGCATTACTCGGAGGATTAACTAAGAACCACATCCTCATCGCTGCATAATTGAGTCTATCGGTAACAATGTGGAAAACATGTCTTGATGGGTCCTGCCAGATGCAAAAAGTAAAGGCGGAAGCTCTTAAATATTTTGATCAACAAGCCAGGCAAACACAAATATATTTGCTACGAGATTAACCGACATCTAGAAAATAGTTTAGCAATTACAAAATGGATCAAATATCAGTAGCCACAAATAGTCAAAAGTTCAGTGTATCACCATGATTTGTCTTCTATTAAACTTCCTAATAGCAATAAGGTGCAAAACTAAACAGAGAAAGCTCTTTGGCATATCTTACCTTAGCATGTGATACAGTAGAGTTTACAACCACTGCAGCCGCCAATACATTGTCTGAAAATAATGCATAATGATACAACTGAGGGTCATCCAATTTCTCTTGGTAAGGGAACTGCTGCTGAGAATAATTCAGGGCATAGAATTCAGTTGAGAGGCGCAAAGGAAGACAGTGAAGACCCTTGGGGAGTGTTTTTGCTGTTAACTGAGTCAAGAACATGGTCTGCTTTCTGTGAACACGCAGCTGCTCTTCTGTTGAGTGAAGGATAGCACGGAGCTTCTTCACCATAGCTGCACAATCATCTTGAATTTGTTTGCCCTTGGCCAATGTCTGATCCATCGCTCTCAGTTTCTCATGGGCACTGCAGTTGAACCAAGTAATCAAATTATGACACAGAACAAGATTCGAAGAATATTTTGACTATTTTCACCACAGTGAGTCTTAGTAATAACTAACAAGGGAGTTAACATCAATACATACTTCCTTGGAAGATCTGAATCCTTTGTTGCATCACCAAGTGCCCTTTGAACTTCCTTTATCCTTTGTCGAAGTTCCCTGATGAAATGAGCATTGCTTCTTGTTGCTGTGAGTGAAAGATATACCTTTGCCCTGATCAGTTGATCTTTCAGATACCGAACCTGAGTATTAGACACGCTGTCCACTTGGTTACTATTCTTCTCATTTTTATGACCTCGACTGACAGTTTCTCTTGTGCCAAAATTGCCACCTTTTTCGACAGATTGCATCTTAGGTGTTGTCTCC